ATGATGAAACTAGTTTCTCTTGTGAAAATGCGGTTTATAACGAAGCTAGTCCCTCTTGTGACAATGCGAATGCTGAGAAGGTTAAGAATATAGGTATTAATAATGTTATATAAAAGCCATTGTTTGTTTTTCAAATACAATTTAATGTTTCAAATTTTAATAACATTTTAGGCAAAATGCAGTATGATTTTTTTTTGTTGAAAGTTGGTTATACATTTGATTCATGGGATGATATTGATTCTTATTTCAAAGCTTATAGTCAATATAGTGGGTTTGTTGTCATTAAGAAATGGGTTGAACAATGCAATGATAGTGTTATTAGGCATCGATCTTTCAGATGTGAGTTTGGTGGAAAATATGTACCCAAGAAAAGTATTGATATTAATGTTTACCGTAACAAACGATCGAAGCGTCAAGGGTGTGAATGGCATATTAACCTAAGTTTCTCTAAAAAATCTAACTACATTACAGTTACAACATTTTTTAATACCCATAGTCATGAACTCCATCCTGAACAATATAAATATAGTGCTAAGTTCAGGTCAATAGGAAGGGAAGCACTGAATGATATTGAATTTTATACAAAAAATAGAAATCTTTCGATTACCATACAGCGTCAATTGCTTAGAGCAAAATATCCAGATGCAACCTTTTTAGATGCGGATCTCGCTAACGCTATTCAACATTACAAAATTAAATCTAAAGATTTTGAAACTAACACTTCACAACTTTTATCATTTCTTATTGAGAGGCGTTCGGAGAAGTCGGGTTGGAGTGTTGAATTTGAGTTAGATAATGACAACCGCCTTACCCGGCTTTTCTGGATGACTTCTAAACAGATATCTCTTTGGCTCAAATATCACGATATCGTTTTTAACGATAATACAGCTAAGACAAATCGATATCAGATGCCTCTTAGTTTGTTCCTTATCGTTGATAATAATATAAGATCCTGTTTAGTTGCGCAAGCATTAGTTTCTGATGAAACTACTGAATCTTATTATTGGATTCTTCAGTATACTAAGAAAGCTACAGGAGTTGAGCCTCTAGTCTTTGTGACAGATGCAGATCCGGCAATGGACAGTGCACTACAACAAGTGTATGAAAATACTAATTCGTTACATTGTATTTATCACATCAGCCAAAATCTTCCAAAAAATCTGAAGGGAACATTGGGTAATTTATATGACCAATTCGTTAAAGAGTTTTTTCTTTGCCGCAATACGTTAGACAAAATATTATTTGAGTCAAGGTGAAAAAATTTGTTAGAAAAGTTTCCATCAGCTTTAAGTTATTTAAACCGAACTCTTTATCCTAGTCGTCGTTCATGGGCTTGTGCCTTTACATCAAAAGTTTTTACAGCTGGGATTCAAACTACGTCACGCATAAAAGGGTATATAGTAAATTGAAATTTCTATTTGGTTAGGGTAAAGTATAGGTTTATGGTTAGGGTAAGATATAGGTTATAGTTAGGGTAAGGTATAGGTTTATAGTTAGGGTCAGCAAGTTGCATAAATCGGGTTCACATTAGGGTATCATTTACAAAAAATAATTTTAAAATCATGTTAGATATTAGCTAGGATTAGGATTAGTTATTCGAAGTTCATTTTATTATTTACATTTTTGATTTCAGACTGTTTTATTTTGCTCTAGGGTATTAGTTAAGATTTAATACGTTTTACTAAATTCTGTTCATAATACAGATACAATAACATCATTAAAAGGCAATTGCATAGTAAAGGTAGTTTATGCGAATTGCTAAAGACTTTGGATTCACGATTAGAGAAAGAAGCTGAGTGGAATCGTTTTTTTGAGTACAAAACTCTATTATCATGTGTTGGGATTGCATCTGTCAGCAGTGAGGTATTGCCTGCAGTTGACTATATATTATCAGAATACTTGACCCCACAGATTCTTTCTATTGAGCATATTGAAATGGCTCAATATTTATATTTTAATGTGATATTGGCTAACTTAACAACATTAATCGGATTGGATGGTGAGAATGAGAGTATAGGTGATCAATTTATAGAAGATATTTATGATGCGAGGCAGATCTTACTTAAGTCAATGGTTTCAGAAGTTGACCACGTTAATATTAAAGAAACTTGGCAAATCACTGATAAACGACCTGGAAATAATTAGAGAAAGCACTTTATCATTGTTCTTGATTCTATCTCTTACATGTGCACATGTATGTCGAACATATCTCACGGTATATTATGTAGGCATTACTTTCAGGTAATGCTAGTATCACAAATTTCTGGATTTCATATTGGTATGGTGGCATCACGCTGGTATTATGATCATAAAAAAAAGGCAATTGATCA